ATAAAGTCATAATTTTGTGATATATAATCGCAACTGCGTTATAAAGTTCGAATTTCGTGATATAAAGTCACAACTGTGCGTTATAAAGTTCGAATTTCGTGATATAAAGTCACAACTGTGCGTTATAAAGTTCGAATTTCGTGATATAAAGTCACAACTGTGCTTTATAACGTTATAATTTAGTTATATAAAGTCGCAATGGTGCGTTATAAAGTCATAATTTTGTGATATATATTCGCAACTATGTTATAAATGTAAAAATTTTTGATATAAAGTCGCAACTGTGCGTTATAAAGTTAGAATTTTGTGATATAAAGTCGCAACGGTGCGTGATAAAGTCATAATTTTGTGATATATAATCACAACTGCGTTATAAAGTTCGAATTTCGTGATATAAAGTCGCAATGGTGCGTTACAGTCATAATTGTGTGACATAAAATTGCAACTGTTATAAAGTCAGAATTTGTGAAATAAAATCACAACGGTGCGTTATAAAGTTATAATTATGAGTTATAAAGTCAGACTTGTGAGATGTTAACTTGAATTTGTGTGATAAAAAGTCGCAATTATCTTTTAAAATGTTATATTCTGTGGCGGACACAAGCCTCAGTAAAATCGTTTGCCCAAATGGACAGAAGCAGAAACATTGTTCTTATTGTATTAGATTTATTTCGTTTTATTATCTGGTTTATATTAGCATTTATTATAATCTATTGCATCTAATTTTATTGCGTTTTTATGTTTAAAGCAGGTGGTGAGGGTTTCCAATTATTTTAATAAACTAAATTTTATTTTTGGCCATTTTTATTCTATTGCAGTTAGTTTTGTAGTCATGAAAATGTCATTTTTGAGCCCCTGGTCACTATATTCAATATAAAAGAATTTCTAGAGCATGTTTTGGAATAAAATAATGACAGATTTTCGGTACTATTCCCTTGCGACTATTTGGCCTTGCAAGAATCCAGTTGCTGTAGCGTCCCATAATGCATTGCAAGGTTGTATAGACAAGTGTCCTTTGAACTTCTGCAGCACACACACTAACCCATGGCATCGACAGACATCGCTCAGATGTGCCCAAAGCTCTGAAATTGCATGTGAAATGCGGCAATTAAATCCATACCGCGCCATATATGCTCGCGACTTTAATTAGCATTCGCTACATCCAGCTTTTCTTCTCTGACCTTTAATCTCGCTGGTGTTTGAAGCGCTCAGCTAATGATGAGGAACACAAGGTGTTGTCCAAACTGAGCTCTGCTTTCTACAGTACATCTCCTTTCATCACCACTAGCGTATGGACACGTGTGCTGGAGCATTATTATACATGCGCATATCAAATCACTACAGATCTTAGATACACATTCCACTTCTTCGGTCAAGTCAGCTTTATTTATACAGCGCTCTTTACAATGCAGTGTTTGCTTTAGATATATGCAACAGAGTTTTTGTCTAGTAGAAAATAGCGTTCAGTGATGGTTCATTTCTGTTGTAAAAAAGTTATTCATTTACTTAGATCAATAATATTGTTGAATATTAAATGAAAACATTAGGATTCTGTAAAACAAGTATAGCATCATTTTTGAGACGTAGTTATTAGTTCATTTTACTCTTTGAACTTAGATATTTTGGTGTAAGTTTAGCAACACACTGCTTGTTACTTGACTTACACTTGTTACTTGTAAAGTCTGTGTAGTGTTCTTTTACACTTGAATGCTGCTTTTAAAGAGCTTAAATTGTACATATTATTTGCAATTTGCATATCAAGTCTCATTTTTAACAACAAAGATTAACTAATGAAATAAAATAAAGTGAATGTTTGCCATATCGCCCACTGATACAGTCATTCAGCCATCGTTTCTGATGATTCCCCCAGTGTCTTATTATATCACTGAAGCTTTCAGTTTTGGTCTCATATAAATTGTTTTGTTTTTGCGCGTATCAATAATTAATTCATCCATCAGAAAGAAGATGTAACACCTCATAGCCACAGTATAGCATGTGCACCAGTCTAAAGAGAGGCTTTAACATGAAGGACGACGTGCTGAAGCCATTAACGGCCAAATTCACAAATATCAAGAGCGAGGAATAACAATCGAGGGATGTCCCTTCAGGCAAACCAATATGTATAGCCAAATAATTATTACCATGAGAACTTATGTTACCATAATAATGGGGCGTTTGGTGCTTTCATGTGGTTCGCCCACTGACTAAATAAGCCTAATCTCTCCCTCTGTGTCCGCTCCAAGAGATCACTCCCAACTCCTACACATCCACGGATTCCAGTAAAAGCGCTCCTCCGAACATTTATGCACAATAAACAATTATCTGTCTCGCCCTGAGCTTCACCGCCACTCTCTTGGCTGCAGTTGAAGCAGAATCTGAATGTGGACATTTCCGTCTCGCTGGAGCTTCATTAAACGCTCCTCAGTTGAGTTGTGAAGGGTGGTCATGTGGGATTTTGACTCTACGGTTCTCATTTTGGGCCTAAAAACCCTGACTCTGAGAGGACTCTGGGAAGGCTAGAGGCGTGGCTTTCATCTGCGACAGATTTCAACGGCCGTTAAGTGTGTTTACGAGACGATAACCATTCAAATCTGTTCGTTATTAAAAGCTAATAACGCATTGCGTGAGATTTCATAGTTGACTCTTTTTTTCTGCTCTTGACATCGAAGAAATTACAGCAATGGGCTGCAATCAAGCGCTTAACACTTTTTTATAATTGATATAATGCCTTTCGCAATACACATCGTTTTAAATCAGCTCTTTTCTTTTTCTTTTTTTTTTCTCGAGGTACTGTTTTTTAAGAGTTTGAAGATGTTTTTGACTCCTAAGAGTCGAACCATATGAGAGTAGATATTTAGCATATTGTGTATTTATTGCAAAATCCCCAGTGTTAAATTAACACTGAGAGTGTGGATTATTTAAACTCTGAACAGAGTGTTAAACAAAATATAAAGTTAATGAATTAAGGGTCTAGAGCCTAACTAAAGCAAACACTGATCTCCATAATGGTGACTTAAAAATTCCGGTTTTCTCCTTTAGTGATTCTGCTTTTTAACATCAGGTGTCTTCAATAATGCTCAATTAATTACTTAATTATCTCATTAACTTTAACACTACTTCAGTGTTCATTTAACATTTTGCTCAGAGTTTCTATAATTCACACTTTTAAGTGTTAATTTGACACTGGGGATTTTGCTGTGTATTATTGTTATAATTGAATGATTTATTTTTTGTGTAGCGCTATAATCAACATTGTTGTTTTATTTTGTGCTTTATAAATAAATCGGAATTGGTAAATTGCAATGCCTTATAGTGACAATTAGCAGATAATACAGTTTTGATTTAGCAATTAATATTTGCTATGTAGCTATTGGACAGCAGATTAGTTTTAAAAAATCATTCACTTTGGTATAGAAGCTTGAAATTTGGTACAGATAGTCTCTAAGGGCCACTATTTTGGAAAAAGGCGTTGGCCACTCAAAAATTCAATATGGCGGCCAATTTTCAAGATTCTTAAAGGATTATGACTTTTCAAAAACTTGTCCATATAATGGACTTCAGTGGGAACCAGGCGGTTCAAGTTCCAAAAGAAACTTTCAGTACAAACTGCAAACTTGTTCAAAAGGCTTTAAACGATTCCAGATGATGAATAAGGGTCTTATCAAGTGAAACGATCGCTCATTTTTTTAAAAAAATAACAAAGTTTAAGTTTTATAAGATCAAACACTCGCCTTGCTCTGTTCTGTGGTGCACGTTCGTGACTCTCCTGTTCGAACTCATTCAACAAAATGAACAAATCTTTTTCCGAATCAATTCGTTTGTTTCTTTCGTCGAATGAACCAAATGACTCGGAAAAAGATTTCGAACAGGAATGCGTTAAAGAACAGAGCAAGGCGAGCGTTTGAGCTTATAAAACTTAAACTTTGTTATTTATTTATAAAGCGAGCGATCGTTTCGCTTGATAAGAGCCTTATTCATTGTCTGGAATCGTTTAAAGCCCTTTGAACAAGTTTGCAGCTTGTACTTAAAGTTTTTTTTGGACCTTGAACCGTTTGGTTCCCATTGAAGTCCATTATATGGAGAAAAATCCTGGAATGTTTTCATGAAAAACCTTAATTTCTTTTCCACTGAAGAAAGAAAGACATGGACATCTTGGATGACATGGGGGTGAGTAAATTATCAGCAAAAGTTTTTTCAAAAGTGAACTACTCCTTTAAGTATCTTTTTGGCTACTCAACTTAAGTATCAACTTTTACTCTCTACTTGACTACATTTTTAAGTAAGTAAATGTACTTTTTACTTTTGTGATTGAGTAGTGCAATTACATTTAGCATGGTGCCTAAAGTGGTGTATTGCTACTATAAAGAAGCGATATCGCCATCTAAGGGCATTACAGGTATCGCATCTTGTGTTTCGCCTTTACTCACCCTAACTTATCCGCTATATTGAATTGACCGTTTTGGTGTTTACTTATGGCCTTTTTGTGCACTTGAGCTTAACTGAGACATGTGAGAGGCTGTTGTGTCGACCGTTATGTATTGCAATATTCAGTTTATTTTGATTTTAGAAAATGAACATGATTTCTCATCTTACAAATCAATTGTTTGCTATTTTCACTGGCATGTCTCTTAGCTGTCGAGGACTAGCGCCTACATTCAGTACGAGTAAAACACTCTTAAAAATCAGATTGTCTGAGACTTTTGCTCAAGTCGTAGTGGAATTGGTGACTTGTGACTTGTAATGGAGTCATTTTCGCTGTACGGTATCTGTACTTTGGTTCTCAGGAACTCTTAGAGACGACTGATTATGTAACACCAGCGACTGAATTGAGATCTTAGCCTCTAAATGATCTAGTGAAAACCTCTAAGACATTGCTGAATACTTTACCTCCGGCTGGTCAAGCATTAAACTAAGCAGAATCCATCATCTGAGTAATTAACTCAGACCCCGAGGAGATTTACTGATCTCAGATGAACAAGTGTGTGTGTGTGTTCACACAGGTGATCGCTGAGCTGCAGATGTCTCTAAAGAACCTGAAAGAAGACAGCCGACAGATCCAGCAGAGCCTCGAGACACAAATACAGGAGGAACAGAGCCGCTGGGACCAGGAGAGGACACAGCTCAACAGAGACGCCGGCCAGGCCAACAAGGTCAGCACACACACACTCATGTGGCACAGGATTTCTGTTCATCGATGCACCTCGTAAGCATATTGCAACTCAGACAATGAATCTTCATTATTACAACTATATGTCTGTGAGCTCTGTCGTTCCGATATTGAAATAGGCCATTGGTGTGATTTGTAAAGATGCAGATGAAACTGAGCTGAAAGTGTGACGCCCTTAACAAAGAGGCTTCTTTAGATTCATCTAAATGATTTGTTGTTCCGGTGTTTAGACCAATCCATCATGGCTGACTGAGTGTTTTCAGCTCTTTGTGTGTGTAACAACTGAAACAACTGTGCACAAAAGGCCTCCAACATGGCTTTTTGCATGACAGAGGTGGCGGAGTCTGGCCCGGGCTTTTATTGAGTAGACATGACTTTGCTGTCCTTTGTGGAGCTTACAAAGAGGGTTTGGTATCGTGGCCGATTGGAGTGTGTGGTGTTTTTACGAGGGTTTTCGAAGCTTTGAACTGCTCAGGATTGTCACTCAGCTTTCCTGTACTCTCCCAAACATTGGGACATAGACATTATCAGCACATTCTGTAATATAAGAAATCAATAGTGCATTTTAAAAACAATTGTGTGTGAAATAGTATTCAGCAGTAAACTATTTTTGTTTATTTTTGTTTAAGTATAAAACAGCTTCACAAACGATCTTTTCAACCACAAAGTATCGTTTTTTTCTGTGTTACGGTCATTTCAAATGATCACAGAAGAACTGGGATACAAAGTTACCATTTAGATACAAACACCGATGTCTACAGTGGTGGTCAAAATAAAGCAAATCACCTTTCGAAAGTAACTCGGCGCTTCAAATAACGACTGTTACATCGTTACACCAGTAGGTGGCGATAAGTGACATTTTTCTTTGAATCATTCATTCAAGAGATTCATTCAAAAAACGCTGGTTCATCCAGCAATGAAAACAATTGAAACATTCGCTCAACCCATTTTTTTAAATAATTCATACCGATTAGCTAAACGTTTTAAACCGCTATTAACGTTTTGCCAGAACCTCTGGTAAAGTATGTTATTGTGTTGACTGTTCAGAATCATTGGAGAATTGTGATCAGAATTGTGCAGCTCAAATAGATTAAGAGTAAATTGTTATTTACTTCATAATACGTTTTCTTTAGACGTAAGTGCAGTACTATAGCTACTAATATTGTCATGAATGGAGAAATTGGATTTAAGTCCCACCTTTCAAATAGAGCCAAGTCAAGACAAGCGAAATCTTAAAAAAATCATGAGGGGGTAGTACTGATGTATTTTATATTGAAAATAGTATCTTGATTTTGTGTTCACCGCAGACCTTATTTCAAGCAAAATAAAATGCTAAAATGCTAACTCGTTCCGGGGTTTTAGCCTACACAAATAAAAATAGCCAAACGCCCATGAAGTCTAGGCACTGCCTGGTCTTTGTTGAGAGTATGAAACAAAGTTGATGACGCCATGCTGATTTAAAAAATGTGAGGTAGTTTTTGAGATTTGATTTTTTTGAGCTGTAGCTGCCCGAGTGCAAGATGGCCGCCGTACAAGTTAACCCACTTCTACTTTTGTTCTAGCGAGTTAAACTGTGAATAGCATTGATCTCTTTCCCTCTGCTTACACTGGATTTAGTTTCATACTTCATCTCTTGACCATAGCCTACTCTTTAATTCATGATCAAAGTTTTATCAATATGAATGAGTTATATCAGAAGCGTCTGACAGGATAGAAATGGTGGCAAGTGTTGAAACGCGTCTACTGATCGTTATAAATGTGCTATGCCAGTGCGTGTGAAGACACTCTCAGCACTTTACTGAAATGCGAACGTTTTTCAGCACTATATCTCTCAGCACCTGTTTTTTAAAGATTATGAGTCGTTTAAATCACGTATGCAGGACTTCTCCAATCATTTACTCCACATCTCAAAATCTACACTGATGGACATGACTTAACCCTCTGATGGTCCTCGGTTACTTCTGACTGAATAATTTTCTGTTTTGAATTATTAAAAATCACAGCTTCATCGGAAGGTTATGATACTTGGTGACTTTTTTGGCATTTGGTATGTGAATACAAAAAAAAATTGAGGTCATGATCCGAGCATGCTAAGTGGTCGTAAAAAAAATAGTCACTCTCGTGGTCTTCGGTCAGAAATGACCGACCCATAGGAAATGAATGGGAAATTTACAAAAAAAAAAAAAAAATTCTCTGAATTTTTGTTTGTACAATCTACAAATCGGCCACGATTCTTAAAAGAAGTATACCGCAGTAAAGGGGTGACACTCTACGACATCAAGAGCGCAAAAAATTTACACCCACCCACACACACACTTTTATACACATACACACCAATAAATTCAGACTACAAAAAATCTGTTTTGAATTTTTAAAAATCACAGCTTCATCTGAATGTTACGAAACTTGGTGACATTTCTGGCATTAGGGATGTGAATACACACAAAAAATGAGTTCGTGATCCGAGCATGCTAAGTGGTCGTAAAAAAAACGATTTTTGGTCTTTGGTCAAAAATGACCCCCATTGGAAATGAATGGGAAATTGACAAAAACACAAAAATTCACAATTTCTTTTTATTTATTTTTTTTTTATTATTATTTTTTACAATTTTTTAAATAAGAAATTGTTTTTTAAATTGTTTCAATTATATATTCAAATCCAGCAAAAAAAAAAATGTGTTCATAAACAGCTGAGGAATTCAAATGCCTCTCCATAGAGAGCTGTACATGTCATCTAGTGGTTACACCATAATTCAACGCTTTTTCTTTATACTGTAACCAGATGGTGCTAATTTTCTTCAAAAAATATTTTTTTCTGAAAGCATAGACTCTATATTAAACAAGAATACTGCATTAATATTTAAATATATATATATATATATATATATATATATATATATATATATATATATATATAGAAAATAATTATATTTCCATTGAAAAAATAGACCATAAATATTGCATAAATATAAATTCAATATAAATTCAATCAAATTGTCTCAAAATACTAAATTAAAAAGAATAAATATTATAGAACAAAAATAAATTGCATTGGTTTTACTGGGATGGAAGAAGTTTCATTTTTAGGCCTCCAGTCACTTCTGACCAGGAAAGCCCAGGACGTAACTCATTAAGGAAGACCATCAGAGGGTTAAATACCACACACAAAAACTGTAATTTACATGAAAAAGTTAATTCTATATTCAAACTCAATTGAAGCGTGTAGAAGTGAAAGTGTAAATATCAGTGTTGTAAAGTTACTAAACTTTTCTGATACTGGTGTTCATGCACTGGGGCTTGAATAATTAATAAGGTTGATTTTTCACTGGTTTCCAGCTGTGTTTACACTGATTAATCATTAGTTTTGCTGTTATGATTAGTAACTTTCCATTTGGAGTTCATTTTCGATTTAAAATGACACACTCAAACACAAAAACGGTCCATCGAATGTTACCATCATTGAGTACCAAGTATTGAGGTCTGTGCGTTCACATGATGCAGTGAAGTTCAGATATGTAGATATTGTATTTATTATGTTTCTAAGTAAAGCATATACTTTAAAAGTGTGGTTTAATCCGCTGTTACATTGTTTGAGTGAAATTTTACTTAAAATGTAAATTTTACTTTTTACTTAAGTTAAAATTACTTATTTTCTTTTTTACTTTCACTTAAGTAATTTAAGTAGAGTTTCCCTAATTCCATATGTGAAATTTACATTTTAAAATTGCAAAAACTTCCCAAAGAAAAATGAAGTGAACTTAACCTATTGTTTTTTTAGATCTCAAAAATCCGCCACACAAACTGAACGCAAAATTCTGTGGCTCCTCCCACTTCATCGCATCATCAATGACCTCACAGTGTCGATTATAGTGTAAAAATCACCTCAGTTTGTATGAACAAATGAGATGCTAAGATACACACCGTTTTAGAAACGCATCTGCTAGACTTTTTTGTGGAAAATGTAAGATGAGTGCAACAAAGTCACTTACTAACTTCATGTTATATTCAAAACTCCTGTTTATGACCATGTAAAACCAGGAAGAAGAGTCATTTGTGAACCGGCTCTCACATTATGAGTGTGTTTCAGTTGCACTATGAATTTTACACACCAAGTTCAACTAATATCAGGACCATAATGTCTGGTTACTGTGTGTTTGAGTGTGTGAAAGCTTCAGTGTTCAGAGTGTTAACTGCTGTTAATGAGAGACTAATTAATGACTGGCTATTTGATGGAAGTCCAGGCACATGTGTACTGTAGCATTACTGTTAAGACAGAGAGACAGGACAGCCTGTGTGTGTGTGTGTTTGGACAGTGAGAATAAGCGTGTCACACACCGACACTGTTGCCAAGTATCTTACTTCAAAGGCGGATTATGAAAGCTGAAGGGCTTGAGACAAAAAAGAGCAGAAAGAAACATCAAAGTGTGGCGCGTTTGAATGCAATAATCCCAAAACAGTTGTTCTGATTGCGCTGTCTGCTATCAGATTTCTCTATATTGCTTAAGATTAAACATGTGTTTGTTTGGCAATTCTCCTAAAGTCCCACTTTCTCCACCCGAAAGCTTCAGAAAGACTGTCTTCTGTCTTTAATCAAGTGTGTGTTACTGCTTTTTCATGCTGTCCTCTATATTTGCCCCGCTCACACCAGTAGGCTTCCTGGAAACTGCAAACGTCCCAAAGCATATCCAGCAAGACTTGTTGCTGACGTCATGTGCTTCTCTACAACAAGACGGTTTAAATATATATTAACTCAGCAGCCAATCAAAATCTAAAAGTAATCATTTGAGGGTCAAGAGCCCAACTGAAACAAACACTGATCACCATTATGATGACTTGGGTGTCTTCAATAATGCTCAATCGTCACTCAAATATTCACTTAATTATCTCATTAACTTTAACACTGCTTAATTTTTCATTTTAACGCTAGTTTATATAATTCATTTCGCTGTTACGGTTTAAACACACGGTTTAAAACTAAAACTTAGTGTATTAGTGCCGCCATATTAACACTATATAGAGAAAACACTGTGCCAAAAATGTTAAATCTTTGGAAGATATCACTGAACATTTATATACCATAGCAAAATTACATTTCTTACTTAAGTTAATATTTCTTATTGTGTGTGTGTGTGTGTGTTTTATTTAAAATTAGACTGATCTGATATTATTT